AACAGCTTTAATTAGATATAATCCACATGCAACCTTTCCCACAGTCAACTTTAACACATTTCATCACCAGAACAAGGAACCTCCTGTCCCTTTGCAATCTCCTTCCCCTTCCTTATCCTCAGAAGGGAGAGGAGGGTGGTCTTGCTCCTTGGCAGTGCATCCAGATTTCCTTGTCTGAACTGGTTCATTTTGGCATTGTGTCCTGGAGACCAGAACTCTCTGCAAATTCTCTAGGCTGGCATGTTTACCACTATAGGCGTCTGTTTGTAGATTTGAAAACATTTGCTACCCTCTGTTGGAATTTCCACAGGAAGCTGCATGGTTAGTGGGTCAGAATGACAGGAGGGACTCATCATCTGGTCGCCAGGACACAGCTCTGGGACTGTCCTGGGGCTTCCATCCCCATCCCAGTCCACCCTCTTAGTCCCCTGCAGAGGTGAGTGCAGAGGTCAGTGCTCTTCCTGCCCCAGGGCTGGGCTCAGGCAGCTGAACCTCCTGCCCAAGGAGAGCAAGGCTTGGGCCAGACTGTACTGGTTGCAGCGTGGTGGAAAACCGACACCAACAGCCCGTTCCAAATTTCCTACATTTAAAGGGCTTTTCAGTGTTTGTGTTTATAGGAAGGGACATTTAAAAATCACTCACTCACCTTTTCTCTCTGAATTCCTGCAGGGAGTTTAAAGCCTTTTGCTGCAAGAAATGCCCAGCTCGCCCTGAACTGCAAGTTCCGGATCTCTGTACTTCCCAGTGCTTCTATGGCGCTCTTGGCACTGTCCTTCAATCTGTGGGGCCGAGGGGAAGGAGTGAGACCGCCTCCTGTGGGGACCCCCAGGGGAAGCTCTGCTCTGGGTGTGTTAGATGCGTGATCACGGACCAGGCTGCTGACAGGTGCACCCCCCGCCCCACCATGGTCCTCAGCACTGCAAGACACAAGTGCCGCTTTTCACGTTTCCAGTTAACCGTGAGACAACATCAGATGCTGCCTAGACCTCAGCTGAGGGCACCAACTTTGATTCTCAATTCTGAGAAGCCCTGGTGTTTGGGGGTTCAATGACATGCTCACATTTAGCCAGCATAATTTTCAGTCCTGGCTATGGCTTTGTTTATTGGCCACAAAATGAGATGGACCAAAGTTGCTGAAAGACGAAGGCGAATGTTAAAACTGCCCCTTGCTCATCTTCATAAAAGTTAGCACCAAAAAAAGCAAAAGAAAGCTAAAGCAACACTCACTGCACGCAGGGCCATCTAGGGCAAGCAGGAAGGAAGGCCGAGGGGAAAACAAGAAAGCTTAGGTTTTGCTGAGTGAACTAAATCAGAGATTTTGGACGTGTATGTCAAGGAGCTTCCGTCTGGGAAGGTGCTCAGGGGAAAGAGAAACCTGAGGTCAGACAGAAACCTGAGGTCAGACAGATCTGGTCAGGGCGTGTCTGGGAAATTCACGGCACAAACGGGCACTTGCAAGGTCTCAGGAACTTCTGCAGAGAAGACGGCACACACACTGAGCAGCCTCTGAGCTAAATCCACTTCTAGAAGGTGCCGCAGGCACGGGCACACCTTACTCTTCTCTGCCTCATCATACAGAGAAGTTAGCTCCATTTCCTTTCATATTTCTGTGAGGGCCGCCCTGGGTTTAGCTTCTCTACGTGAGGTTAGTACTTCTGTTCTAGTTAAGGTCAGCTGTGGCTCTGTCTTGCCACCTGGAAATACTCCTTAGGCATCGTACTAATGTGCTTCACGGGCTACTGATTTTGTTTTAAGAAGTGCAGTCTGTTTTGTCAGGATCTTTCATGCTTTTTCCTTAGAGAAGCACCCTGCTCCTCGGACTTCCTGTTCTTCCCTAGGGGACGTCACCGGGGGACGCCAGCCTTCCCCACCCTGCTGGCTTCTCCTGCTCATGGCCGGGACAATCCACACTCACCTGCTGCTTCCATCGTCCTGGGTCACCATGAAGAGTAGGGACTTGGGAGGAGCACTCTGGATAAACGCTGTCATCGCTCCCGAGTTATCTGCCAGGTCAACATAAGTCACTTTCAGGGTCTTCTCTGTTAACTGAGGCTCTCGCCCTGGACACTGGGCTCCTTTCTGCACCCAGCTTCCACATCCACTCTGAGTCCTCTGGTTTCTTGAGTGCGTCCCTCAACCATGCACATGGTGAACAATTACTGGGCCCACCAGGGGACCATCTGAGGGGAGTGTCTCAGCACAGAAGGGAAAGAGCTATGCAAAACACCTGCAGTAGGTCCTCAGGGTCACAGCGAGCCTGGTACAGACCCAGGAGCCAAGGTAAGGACCTCTTTGACATGTGAGCAAGGCAACTGGGGCTTCTGCTGGAAGGAATCACCTTGGAAATTAAGATTACTTAGATTCGACTCAAAACCAGCAACAAGGTCTGCAGCAAAATGAGGCATTCTGTGTACTCGCTGCCACACAGCTAGACCCGAGCACAGCCACCCCGGAGCAGAGCAGCCTGTGCCCAAAGGACACTTGCACAGGCCAGAGACCTGCCCCCACCCGAGCTTAAACAGCAGAACTGCAGAGCAAGCCAGACTCGGGCAAGTCCCGGGATGAGGCTTCTCTGCCTTAAAGAAAG